TTTATATTATTACAGTTTATTTTATATTATTAGTTTATTTTATAATATTACACTTTAGTTTATATTATTAGTTTATTTCATATTACTTCAGTTTATTTCATATTATTCCAGATGCTCAGGTTTATATCAGGTTATTTTGTTTTCATTTCATTCGGTTTATTTCAGGTGTGTGCAGCTCTAAAGTTTCTCTGCGTTCGCCGTCGGCTGCACATCAGAACACGTTCAAATCTGTTGATGCTCACGGCAAGAATAAATCCAACAAATACAGCTTTTACATTTTCTATATATCTGAAAGAAATGATGAAACATTTCTGGAGTTAAATATTTTACCCTTTAAAATCAGCTCTGGGTGAATCTGAGCACGCAGATAAAAACGTTCATTCTGACGATAAACTGAATTTAGTTCATATAAATATTGTCTTTAAGCAGCAAAGTGAAATAAAATAAATTCCAGAGTTTCATCAGAAGAAGAAGCCGTTTGTTCAGCTCTTTTCTATTTTTCATATTTCTGCTGAAAGACAAACATGAAATGAAAATGAAATCGTCTCGTTAAGCCACTTCTCTGTGAGCATCAGGCTGCTCATCAAACTGGTTCAATGTGATTTTAAATGTGAAATAAAACCGATTTGATCAGAAATCATGTGAAGAAAAAAGACATTTTTATACAAACCATGAAACAGGTTCAAATAAAATTAATCTGCTGGGATTCAGAAAATAAATGATTTAAAGTGAATTAATCCAGTTGAGCAGAACAAAGAACTTCATATTTAAAAATGTCAAACTGACGTTATTCTAAACACAACGAGAACATTTGTGTGTTGATAAAAACCTTTTGTTGTGCTGCCGTTATTCTGACCGTGTGTTTTATTGTTCAGTGATCAGCTCACATTTTATTTAAAGCTTCTGATTAATTAACCTGAATTCAGGTGGATCAGCATTAAACGACCCGTTTGCCGGTTCTGTGCTGAGCGGTTTGTCCGATGAGACGCGGCGCCGCGGCTCCTATTAAACGGCTTCAGTCGGGTCAAAGCTGCAGTTTGACTCTTTACATGAATATTTATAAAAGCCGGCGCCGGCGTGTGATTCCCTGTTTGGCTGAATTTAAAGTGACTCTGATTTTCTTTAATGTTCCCTGAAGCGTGTTGCTGAGAACACGCGTGTTTGTGGAGCTTCGATTTAATTCCTCCTTCTGTCTCCTGTGATGACGGTTTCTGGTTTTCAGGTGTTTGATGGAATGTTCTGCTTCGTTTATCCTCAGAAACATGTTCAGGATGTTTGTTCTCATGTAAACGTGATTCTGTCTGACGGGGAACACGCGTGAAACACGTCTGCTGAATCTGTGCCGCCGCCGCCGCCGCCGCTGCCGAGCTTTTCCTCCGAGGAGCTTCAGTTTAAGCCGCTCGACTCCGATCCGGGTCTCCTCGGAGGATTCTCCAGCTCAGCAGCGAGCGGCTTCATCGCAGCTTTAATTCTCACGTCTGAGAACAAAAAGCAGAACGTCGTCCGACTGTAACGTCTGACAGAGAAACGAGGAAAAAGCTCCAGACTGGAAGGTTTTCTGGGAGAAAGAATCATGAAACGAAACAGAAAACAGAAAATGAAGAAACTTTGCTTTCCGTCGTCACTTCTGGTTTCTGCTTCCACAAACTATTTTATAATTTGCTAAAAAATGAAAACTTGTGTGTTTTGTCTCCCTCGCTCGACGCATGTTTCACCTGTCAAATGTTTTGTCTTTTGTCCTCTGGTACGCCTGTCCTCCAGCGGGGTGGGGTTAGCGCGCGCTCACTTCGAGAAGCAGCCGCCGTCCAACCTGAGGAAGTCCAACTTCTTCCACTTCGTGCTGGCGCTGTACGACCGGCAGGGTCAGCCGGTGGAGATCGAACGCACCGCCTACGTCGACTTCGTGGAGAAAGAGAAGGTGAGAAACAGACACAGAGGAGGGAGGTTCTGGGACACGAAACAAACACACACAGCGGTCAGCACAAAGTAGACCTGCAGGCAGAAATCTGGGTTTAAATAACACAGATTTTGTTAAAGTCCACTCCTGCAGATTATTCCCATCATTAGGGCGGTGGCTACATGGCAGAAAGAAATAGAAACCAAACGCACCCCTGAGTCAAAGGTCACATTAACACAAGAACAGACAAACCAAACGCACCCGAAGTTCTTCCAGCGGTAGAAACCAAGCGCACCCCACAATGAACCGTTCCTCAGAGTGCGTTTGTTTTACTCGTCTGTGTGTTTCAGGAGCCGACCGGAGAGAAAACCAACAACGGGATTCACTACAAGCTGCAGCTGCTCTACAGTAACGGTGGGTGCGCTTGTTTTAACCACCTGCACCGACTCTCAGTCAGTCTGTGGATAGTAATGGTGTTGTTGATGTTGCAGGAGTGAGAACAGAACAGGACCTGTACGTCCGCCTCATCGACTCCATGACCAAACAGGTATGATTATTGATTATTGGCTGATCACACTAACGTTAGCGGCAGTGAACCTGCAGCCGGCCGACCAATCAGAGCGGCCGACAGGTGACGGCTGTCAGAGCAGCTTCAAGTCGACTCGCTTTCTGACAGTTTGCTGTTTTTCTGATCCGACAGTCAGAACTTTTTCTCTGAACACGTCAGAAACCTGAAACCTTCTTTAGTTTATTTTGCTTCATCCTTTAACCCTCTGAGCTCCAGCAGCAGCTCCTGGTCCTTCACTGAGGTTCATGTTCCTCTGCAACATCAAGTCCTGCAGCTCTGAGGAACCAGAACATGAAGGAGGAGACAGAACCCAGAGACGTCTGCTGTCAGCAGGACTCAGAACCACGGAGACCACAGCAGAGACGTTTCTTTGATTCTGAACGGTACAAAAATGATAAAAAGCAGAACCATCATGTCTCCAGATGTTAAACCCTGGAGCTCATGTGGTCTCCTCGTCCTGCAGATGTTGACCACCCTCCATGTTCCAGCCTCTCCAGACTGCTTCTCCGCTCTGCTTCCTGCAGGTGGCGCTGCAGAGGACAGCCTGCTCCATCAGCAGCCTGCCTTTGTTCTGACTCTAATGGAACCCAGCAGCGTTTAACTCTAACGACTCATTCAATTAGTGCTTAACGAGCTCGTTCTGCCAGGAACCGGATTTCCACGGTTCCAGCTGCTTCGGATCTGAAACACTCAGAGGATCAAATGTTCACGCTGCTAATGGACCTTAATGGAGACGATAGAACCCAACACAGGGGTTCTGCTGCCCATTCAGGGTCTAACACCTGAGCTGTGGTACCTGAGCAGGTTCTGACCCGTGGTACTTGTTTGTGTTTCAGGCCATCATTTATGAAGGGCAGGACAAGAACCCAGAGATGTGCCGAGTTCTGCTGACACATGAGATCATGTGCAGGTAAGAACAGCAGAACACCTGAACCACAGAACCAGGATCAGAGAACTGACTGATCAGGGACGGTTCTGGTCTGACACACCTGAGACCTCACCTGTCCTCACTGACCCGGTAACTGTCACACCTGAACCTGCAGCGAGGACCAGGTCATGTGACCTGAGGAAGTTGGCAGGTGTCAGACCAGAACCAGAAGCAGAACCAGACCTGATCAGTGTGTTTGACTCTTTGTGTTTCTCCCCTTCAGTCGCTGCTGTGATAAGAAAAGTTGTGGAAACAGAAACGAGACTCCGTCTGACCCGGTCATCATCGACAGGTAACGCACCTGAGTGAGTGTGTGTGTGTGTGTGTGTGTGTGTGTGTGTGTGTGTGTGTGTGTGTGAGACTCGCGGCTGATATCTGTGTGTTTGTATTCTAATCAGTGTGTCACAGCGTTGCCGTGGAGATTGTGTCGTTGCCGTGGACGCGTGTTCCAGCTGATAAGCCGACTGTCACCAGCAGCAGCAACAGTTTCATTCATTCATCATGTCTGACGTCCGGTTCTGGTTCTGGTTCTGTGTCTCTGTGCTGCTGGTTTCTGGTCTCTTCTTCTCATTTTCCAACATGTTGAGAATAATTTATGTTTATTCAACGTTTTATTGAAATTTTTGAACCTTTTATTAACATTTTCATTCGGGACACGTCTGATCATGTTGTGGATGTTTTCTGACATGTTGTCGATCGTTTATACGTTTTATTAACGTTCTCAGACGTGTTTTCGATTGTTTATACGTTTTATTAACGTTCTCAGACGTGTTTTCGTCGACGACGTCGTTCTTTGATTTGATGCTTCTGTAGGTTGAATGTTTGGTTCTCAGACTGAGACCAGAACCAGAACTTTGGCTCCAGTTTGTCTCAGGTTCTGGTGCTGTGATGACTTCATGTTGGACTTCAGTGAAAAGTCAACTCACAATCACCTGGATCAGAACCTTGAGGTTCTGCGTTCTGCTCGGCTCTCTGCGGTTTTGAAGAGGTTCTGCTGTTTGGCTCCTCCTTTGTTCCGTGTTCTGAAGCTGTCTTGTGGTTCCTGTGCAGGTCTGAGTTCTGGCCACGTTGTCAGTGATTTCTGGATCAAGTTTACAGACGTTCTGTCTTTTGGTTCCTCTGGTTTTCAGGGTTCTACGGCTGCCTGTAAACCGCAGGGCCGGACCCGAACAGCCGACTGTTTGGTCACTGTGCTGGAATCAGGACATCAAACTTGATCTCCGCCTTCACCGCTGACCCGAACACCGAGCCTGGTGTCAGTAGCCAAATGCAGCCTGTGTGTGCTGAGCCCCCCCCACTAAACGGGTTCTCATAGATCCAAAACGCTGGTTCTGAACATGTCAATGTGCAGAACATGGACTGTGATGGTTGTGATTTTGCTCTGATGTTGGTTAAAGAACTTGAGTCGTGTCTGGTTTCTGGTCAGAGTGTTGAGCGGACCAGCCGGTGTCACGCTCTCAGCCGTCCCCCGGAAACCCAGCGGGCAGGAACCAGCTCACAGTGATCAGAACCTCAGAGACGGCGTTGAAGCTGAAGTATCGGAGCTCAGAGAACCGACGGTTCAGAGAACAGAGTGCAGAACACGTGACTGAAGCTTCAGTCCAACTCGTCTTCCTCCATGTTCCTGTTCCTCTGCAGCTCTGTGGAACCAGAACCTGGAGGAGACAGAACCCGTCTCTGTCACACAGTTGGTCTGTTTCGGGTTGTTGTGACTCTTTGGTGTCGTTTCGTCTTTGTTGTTGTTGTTGTTTGTTTGTTTGTCTCCTTCGTGTGACTTCGTGTCTCTCTGGACAGTTTGTTTCTCTTCTTTGGGTCTTTTGTGGCCCGTCTTTCATATTTTATCTCCTCTTCGGTTGCTTTCGGTTCCGTCTCATCCGTTCGGGTTCCTTTCACTCGTGTTCGTGGCTCTTTGCAGCTTTTTGTTTTTTCCTGCTCTGTGTGGTTTTCGGTCTCGTCTGTCACACTCGTGCCTCCACGCTGCTCGTTCCTCCGTCTGTACTCTGACAGCCTCCGAGGCTCCAGTCTAACACTGGTTCCTGGATACTGGGTTAACTGGTCTCCTCCCCCTCCTCTCGTCTGTCCCAGGAGGAATCATTCGCTCTTCGCCTCCCTCCTCCTCCTCCTCCTCAGCATTAATCTCATCCTCCCCCTCTGAGCCGGGGGAGTCGGTGGATGGAGGAGGAGGAGGAGGAGGAGGAGGAGGAGGAGGAGGAGGGACGTGACTGCTGCAGCCTTTTGAAAACACAGAGCTGCTTTTACAGCGGCTCTTTTTTCTCCGTCTGCTGCTGAAATGCATGATGGGAAGGTCTCCAGTGTGTTCGTCCAGTGAACAGGAAACATGTCAGGGTCAGACTGAGCTGCAGACACACAAACACTGAGCTTCATCTTCAGCTGTCCACAAACTCACCTTCAGCAGAAACCTTCTGTTTGCGTGTGATGGCAGATGAAGCGCAGCAGCAGCAGCAGCAGCAGCAGCAGCAGCAGCAGCAGCAGCAGCAGCAGCAGCAGGACACCAACGCTCTGAAACGCAGACTTCTGGACTAATAACTAGTTTGTGTTCCTAATTACAGGCAAAAGTTCATTTCAGAGAACATGACAAGATGCTGCCCACTGTAGAAGAAACTGGAGCTCCTCTAGCTCCACACATGATGTTCAGAGTGAAGCCTTCAGCGCTCACTCTAGACCGCATATGTCCAACTCAAGGCCCGCGGGCCAAATCCGGCCGTCACGTCATTTTATGTGGCCCGCGACAGATGTGTGTTTGCTACTCTGATAAATAAGAGGATTTAGCTGATGTAAAATAAGGTAATATAATGTGATAGTAACCCAGCAGGGGCCCACACAGGGCTCCAGACTGGACCACAGCCTTCTCATATGTGACCCTTTATGAGCGTGTGAGTGTCACGTGGTCACCTGGTGCCAGTGAACGATGATCATCAGGCTGATCTGGTTCCTTCCTCAGCACAGGTAGCTGCTGCTCCGGGTAGCTGCTGCTCCAGGTAGCTGCTCCAGGTAGCTGCTGCTGCTCC